GAAGAGTCGTTTGGATATTTGGTAGAGCTTGAACTGCCCCCCCACGAAGTGGGGGTATTGTCTCGCGTCGCATGAAAACCCTGGCACTGGTGAGAACACTGTGTCGGGTAAAAATTGTTGTTGTTGTTGTTGTTGTTGTTGTTGTTGTTGTTGTTGTTGTTGTTGTTGTTTGTTGTCGTCCCACCCGCGTCCCGCGACCCACCCCGCGACCCGACCCCCCGCGACCCCACCCCGCGCGCCCCGCGACCCACCCGCGACCCACCCAGCGACCCACCCGCGACCCACCCGCGACCCGCCCGCGGCCCACCCGCGACCCACCCCACCCGCGACCCACCCGCGACCCACCCGCGACCCACCCGCGACCACCCCGCGACCCACCCGCCACACCTTCGACCCAAACCACGTTGAAGGTACAAACCACATTTTCGGCGCCCCCAACCTGTCTATCCATTTTATACCGGATTATTTTGTGTCCTCTATTTTTTCGACATCTATATATTTAAGATTTTTATAAGTGTTGTTATTATTAACAAATTACTTTTTTCATGTGACACACAGCTTCAATTATATTTCGCATCTCCCGTCGATTTTCGGTTACTGTAAATTCCTTTCTGTTTGTTTTTTAATACCCACGTTTATTGATCCCCTCCCCTCCTGGATCTGTCAGCTCGTTGATTTTTTGACTCCCCCCTTTTTTGACATTGAATTTTTCTTGGATTTTTCCCCTAATACTGTTGCTTTTCTCGTGTTGGAGATCTTTATCGCAATTATTTCTTATTTTTTTCCTTTATCTACTGCGGTTTCCTTGCAGGAGAGCCCGCGACCCACCCCGTGACCAACTTGCGACCAACCCGCGACCCTAACCGCGTTCAGGGTACAAACCACATTTTTCGGCGCTTGCGGCGGGCATCTTTTGCAGTCGTTTCAAGTGGAGAGCCCGCGGCCCACCCGCGACCACGTTCAGGGTACAAACCAATTTTTTCGGCGCCTGCGGCGGGCATCTTTTGCATTCGTTCCCGGTGGAGAACCCGCGGCCCACCCGCGACCCAAACCACGTTCAGTGTACAAACCAATTTTGTTGGCGCCTGCGGCGGGCTGCTTTCGCATTCCTTCCAGCTGGAGGTGGAGAGCCCGCGACCCACCCGCGACCCAAACCACGTTCACTGAATCCCCTAAAACCCCATGCCGAGGGGAGGAGGGGAAGAGGAGGGGGAGGAGGGGGGAGGAGGGGAAGGCAGGAGGGGGACGAGTAAGGGGGAGGGAGGTGAGGATGATTTTTTTGGGGGGTATGGACGACAATGGGAGGACGATGATGGAGGCCGATGAGGGCGAGGACGACAATGGGAGGACGATGATGAAAGGACGAGGGGGGGAGAGGGAGGACGAGGAAAAAGAGGAGGAGGAGGACGAGGTGTAGAAGGAGTATGACGATGACGATGACGATTAGGACGAGGACGAGGACGAGGAGGAGGAGGAGGAGGAGGAGGAGGAGGAGGAGGAGGAGGAGAGCGCCATCGACAGGGAAGGTGGGTGCCACGAGGTCCGCCGGCTCGACGACGCTCGCGTCGCCCGCGCCCGCCCCCTCACTCTTATCCGCAATTGCGGGGTGCTACGTAAAATACCTCTCCTCCTACCTCTCCTCCTCCTACTCCTCCTCCTCCTCATCCTCCCTTTCCTCCTCCTCCTCCACCTCCTCATCCTCCTCCCCCTCCTCTTCCTCCTCCTCCTCGTCCCGTCTCCTCCTTCCTCATCTCTCCTCCATCTTCTCTTGGGCCGCCGTACGGTCATGCCCTTGTGCATCTCTTCGCTTCGGGGGGGGGGGGAGGGCGCGGTCGGTGGAGGCGTTTGGGAGGTTTGTTGAGAACTGACCACGACGAAACGCTGATCGGGGCTGGATTCGAGGGCGTTGGGAGCCCAGGCCGAAAACAAAGTGGCGATTTCGGAATGTGAGTTTCGGGGAGATGGGAAGGTACTCAAAGGTGACGACGGCGACGCCGGCTTTGCCGCGTTGGGCACCGCCGTCGCTTCCCCAAGCATCCTCCTATTTAGTCGATGCTATTGAGGGAACCTGCGATGACGCCGCCTCTGGAGCCGTCGCCGCCGACACCGTCGCCATTGTCGTTGGCGCCGCCGCCGTCCCCCTCGGCCGCGCTAGTTCGCCGCCGCCGCCGCCCCCGCTGGCGCGGCGGCCGTCGCTGTCGCCCCCGCCGCCCCCGCCCCCGCTCATGACGCGGCTGGCACCGCCCCGACGACGCCGACGACGCCGACGCGGACGGACGAGGACGCCGACGGCGACGGCGGCGGCGGCGGCGGCGACGACGCCGCCATCGCCGCCGCCGACGCCGCCGTCGTCGCCCCTGCCGGCAGGCGCCGCCCTCGCTGGCGCCCGCAGCGGCCCAGCGGTGCCGCGCCCGGGCAGCGGACCGCCGCGCGCCGCCGCCAGCGGCCCGGACCGCGCGGGGCGCGGGAGCCCGCCGCGAGGCACGGCGGCGGGTCCGCGCGGACGCCCCGCGGCAAGTCGGCGGGCGACCGCGGGCCCGCGGGTGCGGCGGCGGCCGCGGCGCACGCGGGCGGCGGCAGGCTGCAGGCGGCAGACGCCCGCCGCGGCGGCGGCGGCCTTCCAGTGCACGCGGAGCCGGTGGCGTACACGCGCGTGAACCTGTGGGAATTGGCCCTGGAAGGCGACAGCGCCGAGACGTGGCCGCACAGCCAGCGGTGAGCCCTGGCGCCGCGCCTCGGCGCGGCGCGCGCGCCTGCGCGCTGCCTCCGCTGGTGGGATGTGTGGGCGCTGGTCAGGGAGCCGCCGAAAGGCCGGTGGGTCTGGGCTCAGGGGCAACGCTGGGAGGGGATCGGCCCAGGGGCGACGCATCGACTCCCAACAGCCCGCTCATCACCGACAGCGGCCTGATAGTCCACCCCGCCTAGGACCGTGCGGCTTCGCTGTCGGAGGCCTGTGGCCGATCGATCGGCGATGAATCGCCAGTTCCAGCTCGAGGTTTCTCGCCCTGAGCCGGTCCCCATTTGCCGTTCCCCTCATGCGTGGCCTCCCAACGACGACGGCGGCGGCGCGCGCCCACGACCGTGCGGTTTCGCTATCAGGGCCGTATCGCAGAGCTCAATGGGCGACTCATCACCGATTCAAGCTCGATGTCACCCCGCCCAGGAGCTGGCCCCACCCTCTGCAATCCGTGTCTGTATCGCTCCGGGGCCCGACAACGGGCCCGAGGAGAGGCCGAAACCGAGGAAACTCGCCGGAACTGAAAGGGTCACGTCGTCGGAGGCCAGCCGTCCCCCGCGGCCGCCCCCGCCCACGCTGCTCCCTGCCCCCCCTCCCGCGCTCCGCCGCAGCGCCGCCCGCTCCGCAACCTCCGCTCCGCGCCTTGCCGCTCCGTGTCCCCCGCTCCGGTGCGGCCGAAGTGGGTACGCGAGCGTACGGTGGCGGGGTCCGCCTATAGGCCCCGCCGCGCGCTCGCACGGCCCGGGCCCGTCCTCGCGCCGCACCGAGGGGGTGCGGCCCCCGTGCCGCTGTCCCTTTTCCACTCCTCCGCTCGCTTCGATCGAGCCGGGTACGGCCGGGCCGAGGTGCAGGATGGAGGTCGGCTCGGAGAGGGTGCACTGACGTTCTTCGTGTTCTTTGGGCGTTCCTGTGCATCCCTGGGGACGGTACCCGTTGGCACCGCTCGGACGTGTACGTTTCCTTTCGGCGCGGACCGTCGATGAGCAGCTCGGATCGTCGTGCGAAACATGAGCGCGCGAAGCCGGAGAATGCACGCGGAATGACGAGACCCTCGAAGGTTCTTCAGCCTGCCTGGCCAGCGCAGGGTTTCATCTCTTGAGGGATGTTACGAAGTTTCAGTCGGGCCTGTTCCTCTACAGGAGGGATCCGCAAAAGTACTTTGAAAAATAGTCCGGGGGCCATGCTTTGATCATTGTTTGACTGCTTTGTGACATCTTCGGGGTACTGTTTTGATTTCTCGTCCACGATCCGCCTGTCGGGGGACATGCCCGACCGAATGCGAAGTCCTGGGCCCTGCTGAGCAGACGACATGGTGGTGCAGATGGACACCGGTTCCTGCCCACGTGGGACCGGACTCGCTGTCAGCGTCGCTGCGGGCGCTGCCAAGATTCGGCGCGAAAGTGTGCGCGTGCCCGACGGCGGCCGCTGCTGGCTTCGGGACACCACTCGCTGCAGGGTATGCCGTGCCCAGCTGTTTTGCTCGTCGGCATTTCATCGGCGTCGCCCTGGCGTGCTTAGACTACATGTGCGTCGCCCCCTCGGGGGCGACGCGCGCAGCGAGAGTTCTTATAGTATATGCGTCGTGCCGGGCGCTTTCTGGCCGCACCGCTCGGGAAACGATATTCTCCAAGATGGGTATACTTTATGTTTTGGTCGGACGCGCGCCTCCAAGGTGGACATATAGTATTAGTACGTCTCTGTGCGTCCCATTTCAGTGCACAATTGGCTCAGACCGCGGTGCTCAAGGCGCTACAGACACGTGGCGCACATGCAAACTGATAGAGCAACGAGCAGGCACAACAACGGAAAGGACCCGGTGGTCTCCCGTAACCCTTACAGTCGACCCGCATAGGAAGGATGGGCAACCTTCCCAAGGGTGCTTTTGCAAGCTTGCCTCCTGGCCCATCCGCGCCCGACTCGACAAGCTTCGACATGGGTGGCCAAGGCCCTTGCATCCGTATCGCGCATCCTTAACTATACGGGCTGACTGCAAACCAGCGCAGCCGCGCCGGCGCGGGGCCTGAGCCTCAACAGTCCTCCTCAGGATGGAGCTTCCAGGATAAAGTTTCGAGGGGTAGGAGGAGGAGGAAGAGGAGGAGGAGGAGGAGGAGAAGGAGGAGTAGGAGGAGGAGGAGGAGGCGGGGGGGAGGTGCACTGGCCTCCGCTGTACGCTTCACGCGCCGCTGCCCCCCCGCGCCTCCCGCAAGTGGTGCGGGCCCTGGCCCCGCCACGCGGGACCGCCCGCCGGGCCGCCGCCGACGCCATGAGCGGCCCCTGGGGCAGGCTCCCGCTCTTCGAGGACCCCGCCGCGCCCGCGGCTGGCAAGGACGGGGCGCGGGGGCGGGCGGGGCGGAGCTGCGGGGAGGCGGGGGCGGGGGGGGGGGGAGAAAGGGCAGGCCTGGGAGGGGTCAGGGGCTTGGAGGCGGAGGGAGGGAGGAGGGGACAGAATGGGTGAGGGAGGGGGCGGAGAGAGGGGGGAGGGGGGGGGGGGGAGGGAGGCGGAGGGGGGGAGGGAGGAAGGGGCAGGAGGGAGGAGAGGGGAGGAGGGGGGGGCGCAGGTCTGAGGAATTTCGGGGGCCGATGCGAGGGGTCAGGGGTCGGAGGACCCTGAGTCTCAGGCGTCGCAGTTGTTTCGCACTGGGCGTGTTCGCCAGGTGTCGGGTCCCGGGACCATCACAGATCGATTCGGCTCAAAGGATGTAGCAGAAAGATGGTGTCTAGTGCTCCAGTCTTAATTTGTTCGCGCAACGTCGGATCTCAGGGCAGGAAGCGGGAGCGAGGCGGAGGGGGGAGCACGGAAGCCAAGGAAACGCAGACGTGGATGGAGGCGGATGAATTGGCGACGGGCCCCGCTTCCACGCAAAGCTTCCGCTATCCGTCGCCAGAGCAGGCGGCACTCGCTGCACGTTTTTTTGGGGGGGGGCCTCCTCCCCGAGGCGTGCCTCAGGCCCTCGCGCGGCAGATCCACGGATCTCCGATGCGTGTCGGCGGCGTGCCCGAGCGGAGGGCCGAGGATAGCTTCAGCAGAGGAGCGGCTCATGGAGAGCGCGGGGCGGGGCGGAGTGGGGGGGGGATCTCGGGCCGAGGCGAGCGTGGAGGCCATCTCGTCGTGTTGACGGGCTTTGGGCGATGGGCACCTGTAGCCCGCGCAGGCCGCAGGCCCGCGTCGCCCTGTCGGAGGGAGGAGGAGGGGGAGGCGGGAGGAGGAGGAGGAGGAGGAGGAGGAGGAGGAGGAGGACGAGGAGGAGGAGGAGGAGGAGGAGGAGGATGGGGAGGAGGAGGAGGAGGCGAGGAGGAGGAGGAGGAGGAGGACGAGAGGGAGGAGGACGAGGAGGAGGAGGAGGAGAAGAGGGAGAAGGAGGGAGAGGGAGGCAGGAAGGGAGGGAGGGAGGGAGGAGGAGGAGGAGGAGGAGGAGGAGGAGGAGGAGGAGGAGGGAGGAGGAGGGAGGAGGAGGGGGAGGAGGAGGAAGACCCCGATTGCGCTGGCGACCCTGGTTGCCCTAAGATCCTTGGCTCAGCATGCTCATCAGCACTGAGCTTGGAGAGTCCCCGAAGTCAGGTGTATGCGTTCTCTGTTGGCTGTGTCTCCGACGCTCTCGTTGAGCTGCGTGCCAATCGAGGACCGTCACTGCCTTGTCTTGAACGCTGAACCTAAAAGTCACCCCCCCCCCCGGATAGCAGCCAGCTTGATTACTACCTTGCTGCTGTGATCCCTTCGTCTGTTTCATCACGCTATGCCCTCAGGCCTCTTGGGGATGCATGGCTTGCGACTAACATTGCCCAGCCCATATCCACTTCCCTCTCGAAGTATGTTGCGAGTTGAGTTGATGTTGGCCGTCGCTACTCCTCTGTTCCTGTCTCTGCCTTGCCGCCCCTCTGTTCGCTGACGTTTGCATGTGTGGGCGCTAAGACGTTCGTATTCAGGGCAGTGGGTAGAAGGAGGAGGCGAAGCACGAGAAGGACGAGAGAGGAAGAGGAGGAGGAGGAGGAGGAGGAGGCGGGAGGAGGAGGAGGAGAAGGAGGAGGAGGAGGAGGAGGTGGTGGAGCAGGAAGAGAAAAAGGTGGGAGGAAGAGGAGAAGTAGGTGGCGGAGGAGGAAGAAGAGGGGATGATCGTGCTGGCCATGATGCATGTTGTAGTGTTGATGCCTTTTGATGTTGATGCTGATGATGCGGACGCTGATGCTGATAATGATGATGCTGATGGTGATGATGATGATATGGATGATGATAATGATGGTGATGATGATGGTGATGATGATGATGATGCTGACGACGATGATGCTGATGATGAGGATGATGATGATTGTGGTGATGGTGGTGATGGTGGATAGATCCGGAAGTGACGGTGACGAATATTATGCTCATGGTGGTGATGATGGTGCTGTTTCAGGATGGTGATGATGATGATGGTGACGGTGACGTCGAAGATGATGGTGATGCCGATGCTGATCGTTTTGCTAATATTGGTCACGGTAATGTGATGACCATGATGAATATTATGATGATGATGATGGTGATGATGATGATGCTGATGATAATGATGAGGATGATGAGGATGATGATGATGATGGTGATGGTGATGGTGATGGTGATGGTGATGGTGATGATGCTGCTGATGATAATGATGATGATGATGATGATGATGATTATGATGATGATGATGATGATGATGATGATGATGATGATGATGATGATGATGATGATGATGATGGTGATGGTGATGGTAATGATGATGATGATGATGATGCTGCTGCTGATGATGATGATGATGATGATGATGATGACGACGAGGACCACGAGATGCAGGAGGAGGTTATGGAGGAGGACGAGGACGAGGAGGATAGAGACGAGGACGAGGGCAAGGGTAAGGTGGAGAAGCGCAGGCAGCGGCGCAAGATCAGGAGCCGGAGCCGCCGCACGCCCCTCCCCCCGCGCCCTCCCTCGCAGGAGGCTGCCCGAGCCCCCGGCCAGTTCGAGATCGGCGCGCCGGGCCGTTCCGGGCCGCCGGCGGCGACGGCGGAGGCGCGCGGTCAGATCCCTGCAGAGGGCCTCCCCCGAACGAAGTGAGCCCCACCCTCCCCCTCGAATTCGTGGGGGGTGGGGGTTAGGGTTCGCATGTGGCCCGCATGTCCCCCATCGTCTTGGCATCGCTCGGGCGCGTGCGCATGCCCTCGACCAGTTTCCCTTTGACGACGAGGACCGTCAATGAGTATTTTGGATCACCGTACGACGAAAAAGACGCAAGAAACCGCGTGCACGCGCCACCCCGCAGAATCCCGCCAAACCCCCAGCCACTCGCGGCCGCGGGGCCGCGCAGGAGCGCGGGCAGGAGCTGCTGCTCAGCTTGCCGTTCCGCCGGGTTGTGGCCCGCCACGCGTCGGCGCGACAAGCTGACCACGTCCCCAGTTCCAAGCGTCAGCGCCCCGAGCCTTCCCGAGCCGCCAGCCCCGCAAAGCGGAGCGACGCGCCCTCGTCAGCTGGCGGGACGTGGCGTGCTGCTGGGGCCGCCGCCGCTGAACGTGGAGCCAAAGTTCCCGACCGCAGTGCGCGCAGACGTGTGGACCATGCGCGCCTGCACACAGCTCTGCGCACGCGTCTCCTTCGGACGGGGCCAGGACGAGGAGAATTCCTTTCCCGGGCGTGCCGGCACGCTCTCAGAGCGTTCCGGGACGCTTCTGGCAAGGCCGCGGCGCCCGAGAAATCTTCCAGAGCCGCCGTCCGTAGCCATTTTGGCTCAAGCTTACGCCGCGCGCGCTCCAAGAGGTAGCTGCAGTCATAGTTGGCTGAGCGCCCAGGCAGCTGCAAGGTACCAGTCATGCCAGCGGAGCTGCAGTCCCGCCTCGACGCCTCCGACGCGGAGCTGCTCCACGGGTCCGGCGGCGACACAGATCAGCCCACGCAGCGCCAGCCCCTCTGCGCGCGCAGGCTGACGCACACGGTGGTGCTGGCAATGTCCTGCGGCGCGATCCTGGCGCTGGCCTCCGTGGGCGTGGCGTCGCAGCGGAACGGGCAGAGCGGGAACCTGGCATCTCTCCGGGTCCGGGGCGCGGCAACCTTGGTCGATTTGGACAACGGTGCAGGCGCGGACAGCCTTGACGATGAAGGAGGACTTGGGCGACCCGAGGCTGACGCGGACAGCCTTGACGATGAAGGGGGACTTGGGCGACCTGAAGCGACCTCGGGCGACTCGGCCACGGAGGAGGCCGCGGAGCAGGCGACGGGCGATGACGACGCCCCGGTGGATCAGACCGTCGACGCGGCCCAAGGCGCCGCGGAGGAGGCCGTGGAGCAGGCGACGGGCGATGATGACGTCGCGGGGGAGGAGGAGCAGACCGCCGACGCGGCCCAAGGCGCCGCGGAGGAGGCCGCGGGGCAGGCGACGGGTGATGACGACGCCCCGGGGGAGGTGGAGCAGACCGTCGACGCGGCCCAAGGCGCCGCGGAGGAGGCCGTGGAGCAGGCGACGGGCGATGATGACGTCCCGGGGGAGGAGGAGCAGACCGTCGATGCGGACAGCCTTGACGATGAAGGGGGACTTGGGCGACCTGAGGCGACCTCGGGCGACTCGGCCGCGGAGCAGGCGACAGGCGATGATGACGTCCCGGGGGAGGTGGAGCAGACCGTCGACGCGGCCCAAGGCGCCGCGGAGGAGGCCGTAGAGCAGGCGACGGGCGATGATGACGTCCCGGGGGAGGAGGATCAGACCGCCGACGCGGCCCAAGGCGCCGCGGAGGAGGCCGCGGAGCAGGCGACGGGTGATGACGCCCCGGAGGAGGGCGGTGACGGCACGGAGGAGGCGCCGACGACGACGAAATTGCGTCTCTTGGCCGACGCGGACAGCCTTGACGATGAAGGAGGACTTGGGCGACCTGAGGCGACCTCGGGCGACTCGGCCGCGGAGCAGGCGACAGGCGATGATGACGTCCCGGGGGAGGTGGAGCAGACCGTCGACGCGGCCCAAGGCGCCGCGGAGGAGGCCGTGGAGCAGGCGACGGGCGATGATGACGTCCCGGGGGAGGAGGAGCAGACCGCCGAAGCGGCCAAAGGGGCCGCGGAGGAGGCCGCGGAGCAGGCGACAGGCGATGACGACGCCCCGGTGGATAAGACCGTCGACGCGGCCCAAGGCGCCGCGGAGGAGGCCGTGGAGCAGGCGACGGGCGATGATGACGTCCCGGGGGAGGAGGAGCAGACCGTCGACGCCGACAGCCTTGACGATGAAGGGGGACTTGGGCGACCTGAGGTGACCTCGGGCGACTCGGCCGCGGAGCAGGCGACAGGCGATGACGACGTCCCGGGGGAGGAGGATCAGACCGCCGACGCGGCCCAAGGCGCCGCGGAGGAGGCCGCGGAGCAGGCGACAGGCGATGACGACGCCCCGGGGGAGGTGGAGCAGACCGTCGACGCGGCCCAAGGCGCCGCGGAGGAGGCCGCGGATGAAGACGATGCCACGGGGGATGCCGCGGATGACGCCGCGGAGTAGGCGACCTGGCGACGCACCGCGACGACACGAAGGTCGCGTCGACGCTGAGGCAGCTGCATCTCCTCCGGCGCGTCGTTGCGAAGTTTTTGAGCTGGTCACTGGTGGGGGGAAGATGGCTGAGCCAGAGGAGAGGAGGAGGAGGAGGAGGAAGGCTTGTGCAGTGCGCCCTCACCCGCGCGGCCACCTGGCAGTTTGAGTCGGACAGCGCCCCTGGTCGGACCCCGCCAGACGCGCCCTCGTGTTGCGCGGCCACCTGGCAGTTTGAGTCGGACAGCGCCCCTGTTCTGGGCCCGCCAGGCTGATTTTTTGGCAGCGCGCGCGTGGAGCTGCAACGTCGCCCCTCCACCAGATTCAAGTGTTCTTTCTTTGTCCATGTACCACCGTGATAATAAGGTTGAACCTCGCCAATAGCGTTCTGTTGTCTTTGTAGTTGCTAGGGGCCACCATGGCGTTTGCTGAATCTGACCGCGGACCAAAAAAAAACTTCCAGAGCCGCCGTATCTCAGAAATCCTCGATTTATCCTCACCCGATTCGATCCTCGTCCTGGCTTCGTCTTACTCTTGCGCAAGCCCGCGCAGGCGCGCGTTCCAGCGTGTGTGTGTGTATGTGTGTGTGTGTGTTTCTGTGTGTGTGTGTTTCTGTGTGTGTTTCTGTGTGTGTGTGTGTTTCTGTTTGTGTGTGTGTGTCTGTGTGTGTGTTGTGTGTTGTGTGTTGTGTATGTTGTGTGTGTGTGTTGTGAGTGTTGTGTGTTGTGTGTGTGTTGTGTGTTGTGTGTGTTGTGTCTGCTGTGTCTGTTGTGTCTGTTGTGTCTGTTGTGTGTGTTGTGTGTTGTGTGTGTTGTGTGTTGTGTGTATTGCGTGTGTTGTGTGTTGTGTGTGTTGTGCGTGTGCGGCGTGTGTGTGTGTGCTGTGTGTGCTGTGTGTGCTGTGTGTGCTGTGTGTGCGGGCGTGCGGGCGTGCGTGCGTGCGTGCGTGCGTGTGTGTGTGTGTGTGAATGTGTGTGTGTGCGTGTGTGTTTGTGTGTGTGCGCGTCTGTGCGTGTGTGTGAATGTGTCTCTGTGTGTGTGCCTGTGTGTTCGTGCGTGCGTGCGTGTGTGTGTGTGTGTGTGTGCGTGTGTGTGTGTTTGTGTGTGTGTTTGCGTGTGTGTGTGTGTGCGTGTGTGTGTGTGTGTGTGTGTTTGCGTGTGTGTGTGTGTGTGTGTGTGTGTGTTCTGGCTGGGGAACCGAGCCCGCGCCCGCGCATGATGTGCCCCAGGTCGCCCAGGCGGAGCCCGAGCAGACGGGGGTCGGAAGGTCGCGCCGCAGCGCCGACGCATCGGCGACGCGGCTCGATGTGGGGCGCCCGATTTTCTCCACCCCTGCGCATCGTCGGTGGATTGGCGATGCTGCGTGATCCCCCCACCCCTCTACTCTAGGCCTCCCAGGTAGGGTCCGAGTCGATGGTGTCGGAGGATTGCGCCGCATCGCCGATGCGTTGCAGATGCGGCTCAATGTGAAGCCCGAGTTCCTTGACGTCGACGTCGCCGATGCATCGCCCACGTCTCGACGATGCATCGCCCGTGCATTGCCAATGCATCGGCGATGCGGCGCGATTTCTTGACCCCATCTTCTCCGACCCCATGTAGGAGGCCTCCAGCTTTAAGTTGGGCATGTCCCTCTACAGGAGGAATTTTCAGGAATACTCAGTACATAGTCTGGGGACGATCTTTCGTGTCAATGTCTGGCTACTGTTTAAGATGTTGCACTTTTTCAACGATTATTGCAATCCGCCTGTAGGAGGACATGCCCGACCTAAGTCTGACAGGCAGAAGGCGAAATGCCGTGCCCTCATCGTCCTCCACACCATCCCCTCTCTGTCCTCTTCGCCCCCCGCCCCCCCCCCCCCCCCCCCCCCCCAGGCGAACAAAACGCAAGAAGCAGAAGCTGAAATGGCGTGCCCTCCTCGTCCTCCACCCATCCCCTCTGTCCTATCCGCCCCCCCCCCCCCCCCCCCCTAGGCGAACAAGAAACAAGAAGCAGAAGCCAACATGCCGTGCCCTCCTCGTCCTCCACTACCTCCCCTCTCTGTCCCCTTCGCCCTCCTCCCCTCCTAGGCGAACAAGCAACTGATGAGCGGCGCCGAGTGGATGGGACCCAGCGCCGACCCATGACATCGGCTTGGGCCTCCGAGCTTGAAAAGTTGGGAGGGCGGACTTGAGCAAAGCGAAAAACTTCATCTTGACCGCGAGGCCCCAAGGGGTAAGTCGGGCACGTCCCTCTACAGGAGGAATATTCAAAGATAGTCAAACATAGCCTGGGACGATTGTTTGATTAGTTTGGTGCATTGTGTGGCTACTTTTAGTTTTTCCTCTAAGATCCGCCTGTAGGAGGACATGCCCGACCTAACCTCAAGGGTCCCGATGCTCCCTGGGCATCCCACCTCGCAGACCGTTTGACGAAGGACGCCCGCAGTCCCGCCGCCGCTTGGCCCACAAGGGGACCCAGTGCTCCCCGGGTATCGCGCCTCGCGTTCTCCGATGGGGACCGCTCGGAACAACCCCAGGAGGAGGAGGAGGAGGAGGAGGAGGAGGAGGAGGAGGAGGGGGGAGGAGGAGGAGAGGAGGAGGAGGGGGAGGAGGAGGAGGAGGAGGAGGAGGAGGAGGAGGAGGAGAGGAGGAGGAGGAGAGAGGAGGAGGAGGAGAGGAGGAGGAGGAGGAGGAGGAGGAGGAGGAGGAGCAGGAGGAGGAGGAGGAGGAGGGAGCAGGAGGAGGAGGAGGAGGAGGACCAGGAGGACCAGGAGGACCAGAAGGGACCAGGAGGAGGAGGAGGAGGATGACGATGAGGATGAGGAGGATCAGGAGCAGGAGGAGGAGGAGGAGGAGGAAGAGGAGGAGGAGGAAGAGGAGAAAGAGGAGGAAGAGGAGGAGGAAGAGCAGAATGATGAGGAGGGCCAGGAGCAGGAGGAGGAGGAGGAGTAGGAGGAGGAGGAGAAAGAGGAGGAAGAGGAGGAGGAAGAGGAGAAGGAGGAGGAGGCGGAGGACCAGGAGGATCAGGAGGAGGAGGAGGAGGAGGAGGAGGCGGAGGACCAGGAGGACCTGGAGGAGGAGGATGAGGATGAGGAGGACCACGAGGAGGAGGAGGAGGAGGAGGAGGAGGAGGAGGAGGAGGAGGACCAGTGCAAACCCAAGAGTCGTCAACGATATTGGAGTAAACCTTCCCTCCAAGCTCCCTCTTCGTAGGCCCCTACAACGGTTCATTTCCATAGACGGAACTGCCTCGTTGGAAGGTAACCGTTTGAAGACCTTGAAGCATGCCAACACATTGTTCTCGGGATTCCAACGCCTGGATCAACCTGACTATCGCGACTTGACGATCCTGAGGCGTGCCAGAACGCCATGTTTAGGATTTCAACACAGGCCACCAACGTAAGTGTTGCACTTGCATAAATATGAGAATCCGTGAATCTTTTGAGAATGTCACAAACGAAGGTACGCGACGCTAAGGCGAAAGCCACGTTTTGAAAAAGAACCGCCCTCAAGCCGTGAAGCTCTTGCAAATTTTCATTCGAATGTGCGCCGCGCTAGGGCGAGCCACATTTTGAAAAGGAGCCGCGTTTCAATCCGTGAAGCCCTGTTTTTTTTTTTTTTTTTTTTTTATAACGAATGCGCGCCGCGCTAAGGCGATAGCCACATGTTGAAAACCACCCGCCCTCTACCCATGAAGCTCTTGCACATGTTCAGAACGAATGTGCGCCGGGCTAAGGCAATCCACATTTTGAAAAGGAGCCGCCCTCAATCCGTGAAACTCGGGCAAATGGTTCAAAACGAATGTGCGGGGCGCTCAGGCGAGAGCCACGCTTTGAAAACCACCCGCCCTCAATCCGTGAAGCTCTTGCAAATGTTTAGAACAAATGTGCGCCGCGCGAAGGCAAGCCACTTTTTTAAAGGGAGCCGCCCTCAATCCGTGAAACTCGGAAAAATGTATAAAATCAATGTGCGGGGCGCTCAGGCGAGAGCCACGTTTTGTAAACCACCAGCCCTCAATCTGTGAAGCTGCTGCAAATTCTTAGAGCGAATGTGCGCCGCGCTAAGGCGAGAGCCACATTTTGAAAACCACCCGCCCTCCATGCGTGAAGCTCTTGCCAATGTTCCAAACGAATGTGCGCCGCGCTGTGGCGAGAGCCACATGTTGAAAACCACCCGCCCTCCGTTTGTGAAACCGGTGTCCTCTTGCAAGCTTCAGTAGGCAGTCTCACATGAAACGCCCGGCCCGCCTGACTCCGGGTGCGACAGGGAGAAATCATGTAAAATGTAAAGGAATGGAGGAGCCGCCCCTTGCTCACCCGCCTCATGCTCATCGCCATCCTCGCCTCCCCTCCCCTCCCCCAAAAGCTTCCTGTCTCTGCAGAGAGCGGCGCAGCAAGTAACGATGTTCGTCGTACGGGGGAGCGTGTGGCATGGTAGTGCCCCGCAGTGCGCATCGCGCGAAGATGACGACACGCACTGCTGCATCCGAGGCTGCGGCCACGGCCGCATCGCGCGGGCCGCAATCGGGCCGTCCCTCCCTCCCGGAGGGACGTTCTGCGCGTGTCGTCTCGTCGCGTTGTCCCCCCCTCCCCCCAAGTTTTTTGTGACGGTCCTGGGTTCAAGACGCCGTCTAGTGCATGCGACGCGTTTCGGCGGCACTACGCCCCTTCGCCAGGCATGGGCCCAGATGGCCACCGCGCGGCGCACGAACGCTACACACATGCACAGTGGGGCAGACTGCGACTGCGACAGACTGCACAACCGGGAAGTCATGAATTAGTCAAGAGCTGGAGGGATCTGAATCGAATTTCCAACCCTCCCTTGCTTGGGTTCTCGTTTTGAATGGAGGAGTGGAGTGCCAACTCCCTTCTCCTCCTCCTCCTCCCGCCCTCAGTCCCCCTCTCGCCTGTCTGCACCTGCCTGCACCTGCCTGCTGAGGGACCGCACACTGGGGCAACACGCAAACCCAAACCGGACCTCGCCATCCCCAGAGGACTGTGAAGTGTGAAACGGTCGCCACTTTCGAGGGCTGCTGGTGGAGCCCGCGCAGTGGGGCCCCTCGCAGACCCAAACGGGACATCGCCATCCGTGGGGGCTGCGCAGTATGAGATTGTTACCACTTTCGAGGGATACTGGTTGAGCCCGCACAGTGGGGCCACACGCGGGCCCATACGAGACCTCGCCGTCCCTGGGGGGCTGCGAATCGTGAAACGGTCGCCACTTTCGAGGGTTGCTGGGGGAGCCAGCGCAGCGGGGCCACACGCAGATCCAAACGGGACATCGCCATCCTTGGGGGGCGGCGAAGTGTGAAACTGTCGCCACTTTCGAATGCTTCTGGGGGAGCCAGGACAGTATGGCCACGCAGATGCAACCAGGACCTCGCCATCCCTGGGGGACTGCGATGTGTGGAACTATCGCCACTTTCGAGGGCATTTGGGGCATTCGGCTCTGCGCGGCCACACGCAGACCCAACCGCGATTTCCCCATTCTTGGGTGGCCGCGAAGTGTGACATGATCGCCCCTTTCGAGGGCTGCCAGGGGAGCCCGCACAGGGGGTCCCCACGCAGACCCAAACAGGACCTCGCCATCCCTGGGGAGCTACGAAGCTGGAAACTGTCGCCACTTTTAAGGGCTGCTGCGGTGGGCAACACAGTAGGGCCACACGCAGATCCAACCAGGACCTTGCCATCTCTGGGGGGCTGCGAAGTGTGCAATTGTCCCCACTTTCGAGGATTGCTGGGGGAGCCCAAACAGTGGGGTCCCACGCGATGCAAACGGGACCTGTGCGAAGTGTGAAGTCGTCGCCACTTTGAGGATTGCTGCGGGGGCCAAGACAGTAGGGTGCCACGCATATGCAAAGGGGACCTCGCCATCTTGAGGGGGGGGGCCGCGAAGTATGGAACTGTCGCCACTTTCGAGGGCTGCTGCGGGAGCCAGCACAGTGGGGCCACACGCAGGTTCAACCGGGCAGCTGCGAAGTGTGCAAGTTGTCCCCACTGTCGAGAGCTGGGGGGGGGCTTGCACAGTGGCGTCCCATTCGGAGTCAAACGGGACCTCGCCATTCCTTGGGGCTGCGAAGTGTGAACTTGTCGCCGCTTTCGAGGGCTGCTTGGGGGGGGCAGCGCAGTGGGGTCCCACGCAGATCCAAGCGGGACCTCGCCATCCTGAGAGGGGGTGGTGGCTGCGAAGTGTGAAATCATCGCCACTGTTCGAGGGCTGCTGGGGGAGCCAGCACAGCGGGGCCACACGCAGGTCCAACTGGGGAGCTTCGAAGTGTGAGATTAACTATCTCACTTTCGAGGGCTGCTGGGGGAGCATGCACAGTGGCGTCCCATTCGGATCCAAACGGGACCTCGCCATCCCTCGGGTCTGCGGAGTGTGAACCTACCGCCACTTTCGAGAGCTGCTTGGGGGGGGGGGCAGCACAGTGGGGTCCCACGCAGATCCAAACGAGACCTCGCCATCCTGAGGAGGGGGGGTGGCTGCGATGTGTGAAACTGTCGCCACTTTCGAGGGACGCTGGGGGGGGGGCAGGGGACCTCGCCATACCTGGGGGGGGGCTGCGAAGTGTGAAGCCGTAGCCTCTTTGAGGGCTGCTGGGGGGAGGCCAGCGCAGCGGGGTCCCACACAGACCTCGATGACCTCGCCATCCCTGGGGGGGGGTGCGAAGGTTGAAACTGCCGCAGTTTTGAAGGCTGCTGGGGTGCGCAACACAGTGGGGTCCCACGCAAATCTGGACGAGGAGGGGTGGGGGCGGAGGAGAGGGAGGGGGATGAGAAGGAGGCGGAGTAAAACGCGGAGGAGGAAGACGAGGCGGAGGAGGAGAGGGAGGAATATGAGGAGGAGGAGGACGAGGAGGAGGAGGAGGAGGAGGAGGAAGACGACGAGGATGAGCAGGACGAGGGGGGGTGGCGAGGGAGACGAGAGGGAGAAGGACGATGAACAAGAGAGGGAGGAGGACGATGAGGGCGAGGATGAGGATGCAGAAGAGGAGAGGGAGGAAGAGGAGGAGGAGGAGGAGGAGGAGGAGGAGGAGGAGGAGGAGGACGAGGAGGACGAGGAGGACAAGGGGGAGGGGGAAGAAGAGGAGTGAGGCGAGAAAGAGGAGGAGGAGGAGGAGGAGGAGGAGGGGGAGATGTACGGGGAGAGATTCGGGAGAGGAAGGGGAGGAGGAGGATGAGGAGGAGGGTTGCGGAAGAGGGGCTGCTTCTGCCGAGGTGATTGCTCGTCCACCCCGATGTCTTCCTTGTGCTTCTTCTTCCCAGTGCAATGCCTTCTGGCCTTCTGTACCTCTGTTCTGCTCGTCGGCCACACACACACACTTCTCACGATATGGATATCCGCCGTGGACCGTCTCTTGCAGTGCCGCTGTCACTCTATTGCCGGCACACCTTATATCATTCCTTGGTGCCGATGGGTTGGGTACGTCGCAGGGCTGTGTGTTCGGGTCTGTGTACCCTCCCTCTCTCCCTCACCCGCGCCCCCCTCAGCCGTCTGGCTAAGCTATTGGACCATGCGTTCCTCCAGCCGTCGTGGGAACTCCTGAAGGGAGCACCCCGGTGGGAAGAGGGAGGGGGGGGGAGGAGCAGAAGAGCGAAGACGGGGAGGAGAGGAGGAGGGGGAAAAGGAGGAGGAGGAGGAGGAGGAGGAGGAGGAGGAGCCGGCTCGTGGGGGCCCCCATTGGGGCGTCCTGGGGGCTTCCCCGGAGCTGCCCTCCCTCATCCGCTGCTCTGCCCCCCAGCGCGCGCGCCCAGGCGGAGCTGGAAGCGGGCTGTTCGGCGGCTGCCTCCTTCGCGACGCCAGCTCCGCAGGCGGGGATCTCCTCGCATCCGGGGGGGCGAGCGCGCTCCTGCGGCGGGTGCGGAGGCCACCTCCTCCACAGCCTTCCAGGCCCTCCGGAGAGTGGGGAGGAGGAGGAGGAGGAGGAGGAGGAGGAGGAGGAGGAGGAGGAGGAGGAGGAGGAGGAGGAGGAGGAGGAAGGGGTGGAGGAGGAGGAGGTGGTGGTGGTGGAGGAGCGAGGATCTTTGCCCCCCCCTCCATCCCCCATCACCCTTCCTTTCCCCAGTTATTCCTTCAGCCTCTGGGAGAAGCCGTGAAGGACCCCTCCCCCCAAAGCCCAATAACAAGCCTGCGTCTTCATACAACTAGTGTAAAGTCGGCCCCGTCCCTCTACAGGCGGAAAAGTCAAGAAGTGTCATTAAAAAAACATGGAGGCGATTTTTATACGGTGGGGGCGTTGGTTAAGGAATGTGCCCAGGATGCTTCAGACCCTGGAGGATTCCTTATCTGATGAGGGGGGCGGTGGTATCCATGGCCATGCCTTGATTTAAGTTCCACTGGCCTCCAGACCCTGGATTCCTTATCTGAGGATTCCTTATCCAATGCCCCCACGGTGTTATGTGTTTTGGGCAATGTTGCATATGTCTGGCTATGTTTTGCGTTTCCCCCAGAATCCGCATGTAGGAGGACACGCCCGACCCAACGCTAGTTTTCGGCCTCTGGGAGACCCCGCGGGGGAGCCCAGGACCGTCACGAACGACTGATGGGCAGGGAGCGGGCCGCTGAGGAACTGACCGGGGCTCCGGCTGCCCCCGCACGGTGAAGAAGCAGGGCGTCGAACAGTTTCAGAAGTCGGACATGTCTTTCTGCAGGAGGGACAGTCAAGAGTAGTTGAACCAAATGCTCTGGCGACGATGTGTCGATCCTTCTTCGATTCTACAAGGTTGCCATGTAGGCCCGTCGGAGGACACGCCCGCCCGGTAGGAGGACATGCCCGACCTAAGAATAGGTGAGTCCACGCGGTCCTCGCCTCTGGAGGCCAAGCAGGACAGAGCTCACCGCGTGGGCCCTGTAGCCAGCCGTCCTTCCCCCTCTCCCATCATCATCGAGAACAAATGAGCCCCGAACCCTAATAACATGATAAGGATGTGGCCGCCTGGTGTTTTTGGCCCTCTTAACTCAGGTCCCCTCCAAAACGGTTAGGGGTCCTTTCTTTGGTCAATGACATCATCTCTCCTCCATTGCCAGCCCCCGCTCATCCAGGCTCGCACTTGCCTCCTCTCTCCCCGTGCGTCCTCTGTCCAGCGCCACCCCCATTTGTTCCCTCTGTCCCGTACCCCCTCTGTCCTGTGTCTGTGGTCAACACCATCGCCCTCCAGCCTGCCCTCCGTAGAGTCGTCCGAATGATCGCCTCCTGCCACCACCCACCCCGCTTGTGTCCCTTTTCACTTTCCGCACCGTGAAGCCGCTGCCTCCCCTGCGTATCCTGATCCTGCCCTTCGTTTTCCTCCTAGTCCTCATATTACCCCCTTCTGCTAGTGGTCGTCACCCCATCCGCGTGCGTCCCAAGACACCAAGGTAACCCAGAGCATCGTCGATATTCTTATCGTGCATATTGGCATTGCCAGTTGAGGCCATGGGGTGCGCACTCCGCGGCTGAATACAACACGGCCTGCACTCGGTTGCGGTGTGCAGTCGCGCAGCATGGGGCCGAGGTTACAACGCCCTGCTGTTGGTTGCGCGATAGGCCGAGCACTCGGCTGCCGTCCACGCAGTGGTTAGCTGTTGGTTGCGCGCCTAAGGCTGCGCGCGCACTCGGCGGCCAAGAACCAGATGGCATGGTCGTGGTGGGGCGAGGCAGCCAGACGGCACGTGAGTCGGAACAGCAAGCGACACACACCAGGCTGAGAGGGGGGCGATCGTGTTTCTTGCGCGCTCGCGCGTGGCTGGATGGAGGGCTCGATCTCTTGGGGACGATGCTTGGGGCAGCGTGCGGGGGCGATGCTTGGGGGCAATTCATGGGGGTGGGGAGGCGACGCTTTGGGGCAACATTTCGGGGGCGTAGGTGAGGGACAGCTGGTGCCGCCCCCGCCACTCTTGCCGCAAACGGGGGGGTGCTGCCCATTCGGGCTGCGCTGAAACAGAGGTCCAGATGTTTCGAACAGGATCGAGGAGGAGAACAACGAGGAGCACCAGGCAGCAGCCAGAGGAGCGGCAGTGCTCCCCGCCAGAGGCCGGAGAGCAGGACCCCACGCAGGGGGTCTTCGCCTGGTCGCCGGTCGTGAGCCGCGCGGAGCTGAGGCGGGCGGGGTCTTCTCGTTGTGCTTGCTCTCTCATGCACACGGCCTTGCCCCGCTCGGGGGAGGAAAAGGTAGTGATACCGCTGCCCTTGCCTTGTTTGCACATTCGGGGGCCTCCTGGGAGGCCCTCGCCGCCACCGCTGGATTCGCCTCCAAATCCTGGTCAGAACGCACCCCAGGAGAGGTCCAGGGAGTGCCAGTCTCGACCACGCTAGCTACCTATCACAACAAGTACACCAGGCAGGGGTAAATGCTTTCAAGACCGGTAAGGTGCACACCAGGGAGCCATACCTACAACCCACAATTTTCGCTCTCATTCGTGTCCGTAGAGCATGCCTGAGAACCAGTCCCGTGAGTGCCAGTATCGGTGTCTTTTGGTCCCCCCCCTCTCTCGGGGCCCTTGAGCCATTGCTCTTCATCCTCCTGCCTCTCCCGCTCCTCATCCCTGCTCCTCACTGGCCACCTCCAGGGACCTCGGGAGAGACCTCGGGAACCGCTGTGGAGATTTCCAGACAGCTCTGGAGACTATCCGCTCCTCCTCCTCCTCCTCCTCCTCCTGTTCCTCCTCCGCCTCCTCCTCCTCCTCCGCCTCCTCCTCCTCCTCCTCCTCCTCCTCCTCCTCCTCCTCCCGCCCCGTCCTCCTCCTCCGCCTCCTCCTGCTCTTCCTTTTACTCCTCCTCTTCTTCCCCCCTCCTCCTCCTCCTCCTCCTCCTTTTCCTCCTCCTCTTCCTCCTCCTCCTCCTGCTCCTTCTCCTCTTATCAGGCTACCCGAACTCCTTTTTCTCCTCCTCGTCCTCCTCCTCTTCCTCCTCCTCCTCCTCCTCCTCCTCCTCCTCCTCCTCCTGTTCCTCCTTCTCCTCCTCCTCCTCATGTTCCTTCTCCTCGTTCTCCTCCTCTTCCTCGTCATCCTCCTCCGTCCGCCTCCGCCTCCCTGGCCAAGCTCCCCGCGCTAGCAAAGGCTGAGGATGCCTAAGTCGGGCAAAGAATCTTCCATGCTGGTTCTGCCCAGAGACTTTTGTTTGATCCTCTGGCACGTAACCGTCGCTACCCGCCCCCCCGGGGGTAACGTCAACGATCGTATTTTTTGGGGGGGGGGTCTTGGACCCCCCCCCAAAAAATATCCTGGCGAAGGACCCAACCAGATGCAGTTGCGAGTACCGCAATTGTGAGTATCTTCTTTGATGGTGCTCCCTATGGGACCACGAACCGTATGAGGGGTGTGCCGAAATCTGTGCGGTAGGCGCATGGGAGCGCAGCCACTGGGGCCTTCGCTGGAGCTCCCTATGGGGCCACGAAACGTGTGAGGGGTGTGCCGAAATGGGCGCGGCGGGCGCATGGGAGCGCAGCCACTGAGGCCTTCGCTGGAGCTCCCCATGGGACCACGAAGCGTGTGATGGGTGTGCCGAAATGGGTGCGGTGGGCGCATGGGAGCGCAGCCACTGGGGCCTTCGCTGGAGCTCCCTATGGGGCCACGAAACGTGTGAGGGGTGTGCAGAAATGGGTGCGGTGGGCGCATGGGAGCGCAGCCACTGGGGCCTTCGTGGAGCTCCCTATGGGGCCACGAAACGTGTGAGGGGTGTGCCGAAATCTGTGCGGTGGGCGCATGGGAGCGCAGCCACTGGGGCCTTCGCTGGAGCTCCCTATGGGGCCACGAACGTGTGAGGGGTGTGCCGAAATGGGTGCGGTGGGCGCATGGGAGCGCAGCCACTGGGGCCTTCGCTGGAGCTCCCTATGGGGCCACGAAACGTGTGAGGGGTGTGCCGAAATGGGTGCGGTGGGCGCATGGGAGCGCAGCCACTGGAGGTGGGGCGCATGTGCCAGGCGCATGGGAGCGCAGCCACTGGGGCCTTCGGTGGAGCTCCCAAACGTGTGAGGGGTGTGCCGAATGGGCGCGGTGGGCGCATGGGAGCGCAGCCACTGGGGCCTTCGCTGGAGCTCCCCATGGGGCCACGAAACGTGTGAGGGGTGTGCCGAAATGGGTGCGGTGGGCGCATGGGAGCGCAGCCACTGGGGCCTTCGCTGGAGCTCCCTATGGGGCCACGAAACGTGTGAGGGGTGTGCAGAAATGGGTGCGGTGGGCGCATGGGAGCGCAGCCACTGGGGCCTTCGGTGGAGCTCCCTATGGGGCCACGAAACGTGTGAGGGGTGTGCCGAAATCTGTGCGGTGGGCGCATGGGAGCGCAGCCACTGGGGCCTTCGCTGGAGCTCCCTATGGGGCCACGAAACGTGTGAGGGGTGTGCCGAAATGGGTGCGGTGGGCGCATGGGAGCGCAGCCACTGGGGCCTTCGCTGGAGCTCCCTATGGGGCCACGAAACGTGTGAGGGGTGTGCCGAAATGGGTGCGGTGGGCGCATGGGAGCGCAGCCACTGGGGCCTTCGCTGGAGCTCCCCATGGGGCCACGAAACGTGTGAGGGGTGTGCCGAAATGGGTGCGGTGGGCGCATGGGAGCGCAGCCACTGGGGCCTTCGCTGGAGCTCCCTATGGGGCCACGAAACGTGTGAGGGGTGTGCCGACATGGGCGCGGTGGGCGCATGGGAGCGCAGCCACTGGGGCCTCGCTGGAGCTCCCATGGGGCCACAAGCGTGTGAGGGGTGTGCCGAAATGGGTGCGGTGGGCGCATGGGAGCGCAGCCACTGGGGCCTTCGCTGGAGCTCCCTATGGGGCCACGAAACGTGTGAGGGGTGTGCCAGAAATGGGTGCGGTGGGCGCATGGGAGCGCAGCCACTGGGGCCTTCGGTGGAGCTCCCTATGGGGCCACGAAACGTGTGAGGGGTGTGCCGAAATCTGTGCGGTGGGCGCATGGGAGCGCAGCCACTGGGGCCTTCGGTGGAGCTCCCTATGGGGCCACGAAGCGTATGAGGGGTGTGCCGAAATGGGCGCGGTGGGCGCATGGGAGCGCAGCCGCTGGGGCCTCGCTGGAGCTCCCTATGGGGCCACGAACCGTGTGAGGGGTGTGCCGAAATGGGTGCGGTGGGCGCATGGGAGCGCAGCCACTGGGGCCTTCGGTGGAGCTCCCTATGGGGCGACGAAACGTGTGAGGGGTGTGCCGAAATCTGTGCGGCGGGCGCATGGGAGCGCAGCCACTGGGGCCTTCGCTGGAGCTCCCTATGATCGTCATGATGGTGATGATGCTGATGATGGTGATGATGATGATGATGATGATGATGATGATGATGATGATGATGATGGCAGGAGGGAGGGGGCAGTGGGAGGAGGAGGAGTGAACGCGGGGCGCTGTCTCTTCAAAACGAGGACCCAACACCACAGGATGGTTGGGAAAAAAGACGTGCGCATTCTATGGCGATCGCAGCGCCCTCCCGCTCCGACGTGCCCCACCCCGCCCAAGCGTTACCCTCACCTGGGGCCCAAACCGGACCTCTCCCCAGGCAGCGATGTTGTCTTACCCTGATTGTTGGGAGCACATGTTTCGAACAATGACCTCCGACTTCAGCAGTGCTGGTCGTCTGGTTCCCGAGACATGGCCGCTCGAGATGGTACTTCAGTTCAGTCAGTTCCTTCTAGCAGTTGTTTCCTCTTCTTCCTCCTCCTCCTCCTGCTCCTCCTCCTCCTCCTGCTCCTCCGCGGGGTCTCAGACCTTCCCCGTTCACATGTGGCGCTGGTTCCAGGACGCGTTCTGGCCCAGCTTCCTCCCTACCCCGCGGAGGAGGAACGGGAAGAAGAAGAGGCGCATGACTGGGGTTCTGAGTTCTCCTTCTGTTGTGCTCGCGAACGTGTCCTTCCCTAAGGCCGTCAGACCCCCTCCTCTTGATCCTCCTCCTCCTCGTCTTCATCATCATCCTCATCATCCTCATCCTCACCATCGTCGTCATCAGCATCAGCAGCAGCATCATCACCATCATCATAATCATCATCATCATCTTCATCATCATCATCATCATTATCATCATCATCATCAGCATCATCGTAATCGTCATCGTCCTCGTCACCATCATCATCATCATCATCATCATCATCAGCATCATCATCGTCAGCATCATTATCATTCTCATGATGCGCATCCTCTCTCTATGTGTTGTGTTTGCATTGCTCTCTCCCTCTCAGTCTCTCTGCCTCTCTCTCTCTCTAGTTCTCTCTTTCTTTCTCTCCCCTCTTATCGACTTCGCATTGGCCCCTCAGCCCCTGGCCCTCCCCGTGAACCTCAGCAGGCGGCTATCGACCAGCGCCGAGCTGGCGTCGGGCCCCCACCTGAGGGCGCTCGTCGTGGCGAGAGCCTTGGGGGGTGACGGCGGCAGCGGCGACGGAGGCGGCGACGACGACGACGACGACGAGGACAACGACGACGACGACAATGACGATGACGACGACGACGACGACGACGACGACGACGACGACGACGACGACGACGGCGACGACGGCAACGACGGCGGCGACGGCAACGACGACGGCGACTGCGACGGTGAGGGCGGCGACGCCGGCGTCGACGACTCGGTGTCACATCTCCTGAGGATGTACGTGCTTCCTCAGTTTCGGCCTCTTCAGGCCAATTCTGGTATCTAGGACTGTCACAACGCGATGCAGGGTGACAAATCTGCCAAGATGGAAAGTGTGAGGGCTCCTGGAGCGGATTCTGATCTGATTGCCGGAGGAGAAGGGAGGGGGGGAGGAGGAGGAAGAAGAAGTGGAGGATAGTTGTCGGTGGCTTGCGAGGTCTCCACAGGGCTTTGCAGGATTCCGGAGGCTTCCAGCAGGTATCTGGAGGTGCCCAGGAGAAGGAGGGGAGGGGAGGGGGGTGCCCAGGAAAGGAGGGAAGGAGGGGCGGCATCTGGAGGTGCCCAAGAGTCCAAGAGAGGGAAGGGTGGGCGCGCAGGTCTTCTGCGCGCTGCTCTGGCTGGTCGTCAGGGAGTGGCTGCCCAGGTTCACCATGATACCCCTGGTCGGCGTCCTGTGCACGTCCACCAGTGCTCTCTGGCGCGTGACGGGGGCGGGGCCGGAGCAGGCAGCAGGGGGCACGGGAGGACTGGCCTCGAGGATGAAGTGTCGGTATCCTCTGGAGGAGGAGGAGGAGGAGGAAGAGGAGGAGAGGAAGGAGGAGGAGGAGGGTGGGGAGGAGGAGGAAGAGGAGGAGGGGGAGGAGGAGGAGGAGGAGGAGAGGGGGGAGTGGGTGGGGGGAATGGGAGGAGGAGGAGGAGGAGGAGGAGGAGGAAGAGGAGGGACAGGGGCACGAGTCGGGCTTCTCTGGCGTTTGCAGTTCTTGTCGGGCCTCCAGAGCAAGGAGGCCCCCAGAGGACCCTGTCCGTCCGCCCTCCTCACAGGTCCCTCCTCGCCTCCTTGCGCGCGTATTCCCTCGACTTCGGTTTCCGAGGTCCAGTCTCGGACCCCGAGCGCCATCGAACACCGAGCTGGATCGGAAAGCTGCCCCCGGGAGGCGGACCGAGGAGCTGTGGGGCCCACGCGTTGGAGAATTGGATCCAGCAGAGGTCTGGGTCCGACGCGAATCCGTGCAAGCATCTCCGATTCCCCCGAGAGGCACAACAAAACATCCATCAGCATGAACATTCGCCCCCAGCGGGCTGCACGCGTCGGGCAGGGGGTGCGCGCATGGGGGCCTCGGGGCGCGGGCCCGAGGAAGCCCAGGCGGGCCTCCGAGAGTTCTATTCTGCAGCAGTGGCGTGATCGACCGCATGCACGTGCCTGCTGCTAAGGTGCCGGGCTGCGGTGGTGTGATGGAGAGGGAGAGAGAAGGAGCTGGACGAAGGGGAGAAGGTTGTATGGTGTTGAAGCGTCCTGGCTCGCCTATTGCCCTACCAAACAATGTTATAATAATCTGTGTTGTGGTGTCCACGAAATGTTCTTAGAACGTGTATGGCGGAATCTGCCTTGTTTTACCACATCGGTATTGTGTTCTAAGAACAGTGTGTTGGTTATTACAGTGTTTTGGTTCTTACACATTTGGGGGTTCTACGAGCATTCCGTGGTAGGACTATAGGTATGCCAGGACGGTCGGTCCCTGCTCAAGTTGTAGGCCAGCTCGTGGCACGCGCTGTCACACCTTCATACGTGATCTGCCTCATGCTGTCCCGTTCGGCCGTAAACCAACGGGCGACAGCATTCGGCAGAGCACCGATTCCATGTTCGAACAGCTTCAGGCTGACACGAGGCCCACGTAAACCTAAATGCAACATTCCCGAAACGACGCTTGCATTTGGGGTTTTTGGTTCACTCCATCACGTAATCCGGCTGCGAGCGAGGGGAGGAAGTGAGAAGGGGCGGGCCTTCTCAGAAGGCTCGGAAGCCCCCCAGCCTTCTGCGAAGTTTCCTCAGCCTTCCCCGAAGGCCGAGAGAACTCCTCAGAAGGCGCCAGGGCTCCTGAGGAGCCCCCTCCGCCTTCTGACGAGGCCCTCTCCCTCTCACCTCCCCCCCGCCCCCGCTCGCCGCCGAGCAGTTGGACAGGACTGGCCCAGTGGGTCTGGGCGCTCGGCCGGCGCCCGACCGTGGGGCATCCCCCTCGGGCCTCGCGCGCGCGCGCCTCGGTGCTCGCCCCGGCGCCGCCCGCGTGCACGCCGTGTGGGCACCGCCGCGCTCGCGTCGCACAGTCTGCACAGCACGGCCGGCGGCGCGGCGTATAGCGCAGCTCCCCCGGGTGCCCGGCGGAGTCGGGCGCCTCCTCGGGGCGCTCGCGGCAGCGCTTGTCGCCCGGCCCTGCTCGTCAAAAAGCAGCATCGCGTGCTCCGCGTGGCCTGCACAGCAGAGCTTGCACCTCGTATGCTGCGCAGCACGGCTGTGCGCCACACAGCCTGCACCACAGATGCTGCGCCGCGCGGCCTGTGCCACACTTCGCTTGCAGCACTCAGCTTGCACCGCACGGATGGCACAGCATACGTTTCACCGTGCCACGTGGCTTACACCACGCAGTTGCACAACAGCTCGGGCCGCCTACACTGCACTATGTAGCTGCTTCACGCAGATTGCATGTCAGTGCTCGCACCGCATTGCTTACACCGAAGATGCTGTACCTCCCAGTGTGCACAACCTGACTTGCACTATACACCTTGAATAGCCCACACTGCATAGAGCACACAACATACCGTGCATCATATAAGCTGGACTACATAGCTTGCACCACCCAGCTGGCACCACATAGCTTGCACCGTAGAGCATGCACCGCGCAGCTTGCATCACATAGCTTGCGCCACACGGGTTGCACCACTTCGCCTGCACCACACAGAGTGCAGTGCATATAGTTCACCGCCTTCCTTGCGCCACACCATATGGCTCACACCTAGTCTACACAACACAGCGGACAACATGTAGACAGCACAATACAGCTTGCACCGTATAGCACGCATTACGAAGATCGTGGTCCATTTATTGCACCACCCAGCTTGCTCCATATAGCTTGCACCACGACGCTTACCCCACATAGCTTGCACCACGTCTATAGCACGTCTGTCAGTCCACCGCGTAGTTTAGACCACGTAGTCTGTGCGCATACGCAAGTATAGATGGGATCGTATTGCACCTCGCAGTTTGCACCGTGCAGTCTGTACAACCTTGATTGAAGCACGTAGTGCGCACTACCTTGCTTACGCCACATCGTTTGCACCAGGTAGCTTGCGCCACATAGCTCACACATCCAACGCGCTATAAGTCACTGCGCGGGTTCCACGCTGGCAAGCATTGTATTGGACAGCACCGTCTGTGTATCACTGGCCTCGGTTTGTTCGTTGGTGTGGTAGGCGGTCAAGACACGGGCGATGGTCTTCGAGGTCTGTTTAGGTCGCACTATGGCGTCGGATTCGTTGATCAAGGGAGGTTATGCAAGAGACCCACGTGGGTGTTGCTACCGCACAGTGGAGCGCCACCCGGACAAGCTCTAATTGTGATTCTACAGGGCGCGCCCGTGCACCCCGCCAAAGCAACGAAGGTCATCGCAATCCCGTGTCAGCCTCTCAACTTCCCCCATGCTTAGGTTGGCAAATAGAGTACAGGAGGTCCACAGAGAAAATCAGCCAGGTTTGGGTTTCCAGATGTTTTGAAGTTCTGTTAGGTTTTCGGATTTTCCCAGGCGTTGGCTTAGAGATTTTGTTTGAGGTTTGAGATTTTCGCAGGTTTAGGTGTTGGCTTACAGATGTTTGGAGGCTTGAGATGTTCACAGGTTTGGGGCTTAGAGTGTGTTTGCAGTTTTTGTTTTCAGGATTGAGATGTCCGCAGGTTTTGGCTTACTGTAAAGCTCGTTTGATGATGTGTAGACTTTGAGTTTCTTCGCTCGATATGGCGGTGGACCACCTGTAGTCGCTATTGCCGGACCTAACCCCATGCTGCTTCGCAGCTTCGTCCGTGCAGGGGCTCGCTCGGGGATGGTCAGACCCCCACCCTGACACGTGGATTCGGGAATTGCCCGTTTTCGGTTCTCGAGGGGGCGCCGCGGCCGCCATTTTCCGGGCCTACCCCGCCAGGTTTGGGCCCGAGGTCGTCTTCACTAAACCACGTTTTGGCAAAGGGGGTCCTGTCCATTCCCGACCCGCTCAGACGCGGCACCCTTCCCTCGCGTCAGAGGCGCTCCTGTGCCAGCTGGGTCTGGCAGCGCCCCTCCCCCCCCCCAGCAGCACTTTCGAGCGGCTGGCTCCAGACATCGGAGGAGGAGGAGGAGGAGGAGGAGGAGGAGGAGGAGGCGGAAAGGGCGGAGGCGGCGGAGGAGGAGGAAAGAGCGCAGAAGGAGGAGGAGGAGGAGGAGGAGGAGAAGAGGAGGAGGAGGAGGAGGAGGCGGAAAGGGCGGGGGCGGCGGAGGAGGAGGAAAGAGCGCAGAAGGAGGAGGAGGAGGAGGAGGAGGAGGAGGAGAAGATGATGATGACACGCCCGCGGTCGCGGGTCGCCCCCTCGGGGGCCGCCGCGCCCGAGCGCCCGCGGCCGCGGGCACTCAGCGCGGCCAGAGCCGCTGCGGCCTAACCCCTCGCCGCGCAGGGGGTGATGCGGCTGGAGCGGCTCGCCCCAGCCGCCTCCGCGCCGCCCCTGGGAGGCACCTCCAGGGCCACAGGCGCCGTGCAGGAAGTACTCCGCGTAGTACCCCACGTATTAGCGTCAGCTGCTCCCTGCGTCTCGTCAGGCGCTGCCCACGTCCGCTGCGGCCTAACCCCTCGCCGCGCAGGGGAAGGGCGGCTAGGGCAGGTCGCCCCAGCCGCCTCCGCGCCGCCCCTGGGTGACACATCCAGGGCCACTGGCGCTGCATAGGGAGTGCTCCGCGTAGTACCCCGCGTCGCGACGCCATCATCTCCTCCCTGTGTCTCGTGGGGCGCTGCCAGGAGCCACCGCGGCCTAACCCCTCGCCGCGCAGGGGACATGCGGTGAGGGCAGAGCGCCCCAGCCGTCTCCGCGCCGCCCCTGGGGGACACATCCAGGGCCACAGGCGCTGTGCAGGCCGTACTCCACGTAGTACCCCGCGTCGGGTCACCAGCAGCTCCCTTCGTCTCGTCGGGCGCTGCCCGCAGCCTCTGCGGCCTAACCCCTCGCCGCGCAGGGGGCAGGCGGCTAGGGCAGGCCGCCCCAGTCGCCTCCACGCCGCCCCTGGGAGACACATCCAGGGCCACAGGCTCTGTGCAGGGAGTACTCCTCGTAGCGCCCCGCGTCGTAGCATCGGCAACGCCCTGTGTCGCGTCGGGCGCTGCCACCATCCGCTGCGGCCTAACCCCTCGCCGCGCAGGGGACAGGCGGCTAGGGTGGATCACCCCAGCCGCCTCCGCGCCGCCCCTGGGAGACACATCCAGGGCCACAGGCGCTGTGCAGGCTGTACTCCGCGTAGTACCCCACCTCGTAGCGCCAGCAGCTCCCTGGAATGCGCCCTCAGACGCAGCTCGCCGACCACGCTGCCCCTGGCTGGGCGCCTCCATTGCTATTGGCTCGGCTCTTCTTCTCGAGGAACTCCTCGTAGTACTTGCCACCGCAGCCACTGCCTGGCCTCGGAAGCTGCCCGTGTTCTCTGCGCGGTCTCGAGCAGCATGTTTCCCGCTGTGGTTGCCGCTGAGCGCCTGGGCGCCCATGATTGCCTCCAACGTCTGCTTCTCGAGAGCCCCGCTTGCCCTTCCCATGGGATTCGGCCCATGGTCCTTCTGCCCGCTCTCAGTGCGTCGTCCCGATGCCGCCTGAAAAAGTGCCCAGAGACTTGGCTGCCGTGCTCGCCCTCTCTGCTGCGCACCTCCATCATGCGGTTGAGGCCCTGCTCCTGCCTCCTTTCCGCCGCGACTGCTCGGCTGGGGCCCTGCTCCTGCCCCCTTTCCGACGCGGTCCCTGGCGAGAACGCTGTCTCCGTCATGTGGTTGAGGCCCTGCTCCTGCCTCCTTTCCACCTTCGCTGCTCGGCTGAGGCCCTGCTCCTGCCTCCTTTCCGTCTCGGCTGCAGCGTGCACCGTCATCGACACCGACTCCGTCTTCAGCGGCTGCGGGTAGGGGATCGCCATGCTGTTGTGCCACAGGGGACACACCATTGACGTGGCGACGCTGAAGTGCCTCAGGCGCACTGGCCGCCATGGACTCAGTGGGCGCCCCCGTTCCCGTGCAAGCACTACCCCCATGTTGAGGGTTGGTCGCTTCAGGATCTCCGTGTCGCGTGCGTCCGAGTATCGTGTTGTTGTCGTCGTCCTGCTCGCGCTTCGCCTTTTCCTTTGCCTTTATCCTTTCCATCATTGCTGCCATCTTGTGCTCGTACCCCGTGTCCTCCGCCATCGCCACAGGTCGACTGACACAGGTCTTCGAGATCAGAGGGGGCAGGGTCTTGGGCATGAGCTTGCACAGCGGGATCGTCAAGTCCATGTGCCTCGCCAGCGTCTTGTGTGGGCCCAAACCCCGCCGTAGATTCGTCAGTACTTCTATGCCTTGTCGGGTTGGTGGCTTGCACTGCCTCCTGAGCTTCTGCCGTCGACGTTGTTGTGCCCAAGCACCGCAGCCAACACAGACAAAGACCGTGGGGACCGCGTCGTCGCTGAGCCCGTCACCCTTCTGGTTCACCGCCACGAGGTGATGTCCGAGTGGTTGGTTGAGGAATGCCTTGAGGAAAGTAGGTGTGCCAGCACAGCCATTGAGCATAATATCCATCCCTGGGCTGTTGATCTTCAAGCACGCCTTGCATTGAAGACCGAACCTTCCTTCCTCCCACTGGTGCCATCCATCGGTGCGCGTACTCCTTACCCTCTTTGCCTGGGCAGCTCGCCTTGCCCATCGCTCTTGAACATCACGATCAAACAAGGGTAGCACGGCCGCAACCAACTTCGCAAAGTTCTTGATCCTCACGGTGGCCGTGTCTATAGCCTTCGCGAAATCCTCGCTGATGGCTGCATGCATCGCCGCACCAGCTTTGGCTCGTACGTCCGCATAGACATTGGCATATGGGAGCCTCCTTGTGGCCATATCCAGGCCAGCATACTCCGCTCCCGAACGGTGTGCCTTCACGTGCGTCACGCTGCGGAGGAAGCGGAATCCAGGAAGGCTCTGAGCAAACATGGCCACGCACGCGTATGCCGACTTGGACCGTAACTGCTGCGCGTGCGTGAGAGCCGCCAGCCTGACCGTGCCCATGAAGTCCGCGTATCCATCGGTAGGTCGGTCTGCCACCTGTCCTGTGTACGCGTAGGCTAGGTACTCCGCCATCGCCGAGGATTGCGGAAGCGACGCTGGCACTGGGGCGTGCATCGTACATAGTACTTTGTCCGAATGTGGATCCATTAAAGCGATAGCCCATCCAGCACGTTGGAGCTCCAGGATATCTGGCTTCGTGCAGCTCCCGTCGAAAGAAAGCTCCATCTCCAGATCCGTCTCAGCAAGCACTGTCGCAGCCATGGTCTCGGGCGTGCAATCGAAATCGTTGCCATCACCGTCGAGAATCACGCTGCCAGTACCGAGTTGCATGTCAGGAATTTCCCACTCAGGATATGCGAAGGCCCCTTGGGTGACGACACGATCATCTGGCGCTTGGCGTAGCTCCTGAAGGAACGACTCGGGGATTTCAGCTTCTTGTCGTGCTTCTACGACTTCTGGACGAGTGCACTCCGCCAGCCTATGCACCAGCGTGTCCTCATCCCCACATTCGCACTTGCCGTCCGTGAGGTATCCTTTCTCCTTCGCTTTTTGACGTGTCCATACTCCATCACATGCGCAGTTCATGATACAGAACTTCTGATATTTGTTGAACTTCCTGGACTTGACATGTCGCCGAAGAATATCGAAGGTGACTCTTGTGTAAGGCTGCATGTCCCACTTCTCCGCAAGTGCCTTTTCATGCTGCACTGCTAGGCCTTGCCTCAACATCATTCCAAGAAGGCCAGGGGTGAGTTGCCCTACATGCACCTCATCACCTCGATGGTTGATCCAGAGGCACCCTGTACGCGTTTGCCACCCAGCTCGTTGTACTGAGAGTGCTGCGCGCTGAAGGGGACCACGTGTCTTACTCCACTGCTTGACCACTCCAGGTTCGGTAACTGCCCTTCTCCACCAGGCTTCCAGCAATGCGAGTGGAACAGCTGCGGTATCAGGCCTGGCTGTGGCGGCCCACACCATCCTTGACCATTGGAGGGCAGGAGCCAGTGCTTGCGTGGCAGCAGGGTCGCCTAGCAGCACCAGGAGGCGGAGGAGGAAAGGGCGGAGGCGGAGGAGGAGGAGGAGGAAAGAGCGCAGAAGGAGGAGTAGGAGGAGGAGGAGACGGAGGAGGAGGAGTCCTCGCGCTGGATTGAGGTCGGCTTGGACGCCCGCGGCGGAGAGCGGGGAGAATCCTGACGCGACCCTTCAGCGTGCCCGTCGGCGCAGTCGAGTTTGTGGCCCTCGCCGCGCCTTGAAGCCTAGAGTTACGTCGGGCACGTCCCTCTACAGGACGAATATTCGAAAATAGTGAATACGAATATGGAGACGTTTTTGGGGTATGTTTGAACCATGCTTGAGTGATTGGGACAGACCGGCAAAGGCACATTCGAATTTGGGTGGTATCGTACTACACTGGAAACCGTGGAGCCTACGAAAATGGCGATGGCTTCGTAGTTCGCAGTCCCCAGGGACGGCGAGGTCTCATTTGCGTTGGACGCTACTACGCTGAACCTCCTCCCTCTGGAACCCCCTGCTAGAGGGAACAAAACATGGACATTCCCCCCTTCTCCCAAATTCAAAGTTGGCACATGCGGAGGAGATTGCGGTCGAAGTGCAACTCATCAGATCCACCGCCAATTTTGGACTTGGGGGGAGGGGGAGGCGATGACCGATCAATGCGGCATGAGTGCTCGCTTTTTTTCTGTCCGAGGCCTGTTCTTCGGACCCCGATGAGCCCACGAAAGTTGCGACAGTGTTGTATGTACTTCGCAGCCCCCCCGGGGCGGCGAGATGTCATCCCTGGCCGGGGCAGGACTGCGCTCCTCTGGACCCCCCAGGAGCCCCAGATCGTGACGACGGTTTTTGCATGTTTCAGCCCCTGTGGGCAGCGATGGCTCATCCCTTGGCATCGCTCGCGCGTGTGCATTTTTCCTCGGCGAGGATCTTCGAGGAGCATCCTGGATCATCTTGCGAAACGTGCACGCGCGAAATCGAACAGCGCACGGGGAATGGACGTCCGAGCGATGGCGAGTCCAGGGACAGCGAGGTCCCATCCTGACATGGGTCGTACTGTAATGCGCCGGAGACCCCCCAGGGGCCTACGGGAGCTGGGATGGCTTCGCAGATCGCAGTCCCCAGGGACGGCGAGGTCTCATTCGGGTCGTGCGCAGGGCCGCACTACTCTTGAGTCGGGCCCGTCCCTCTACAGGAGGGATATCCAAAAATGGTAAAAACACAGTCAGGGGACCAATGCTTGACTACGTCCGAGCATGTCTGGAGCATTGTCAGGATGTGCGTCGGCCAAAAACCGCCTCTGGGGGGGACATGCCCGACCCAACACTGCCCTGGACCCCCCCGGGGGGCTTCCGAGGGCGGTGACCGCCTCGGAGGTCGCAGCCCCCAGGGCATCGGCGGGGCATCGGAGGCAGGGCAGGAGGCAGGGAGCCAGGAGGCAGGGAGCGAGGAGGAGGACGCAGGACGTCGCCGAGCGCGTCCCACT